TTTTCCACGTTTTTTTTGTCTATATATTATCTACATTTTCTTCCTAATGGAGATGTAGGATTTTTTTTTGAGATGTAAGAATTTTATAATATGAAAGAATAGCAAAATTATCCTCTCAGATGTAATTTTGGAAACTGTAGTAAATTAATCAAATAAGCAAAATTAAAGTTATATTTATGAATGAAAACTTTCTTATTTACTTGACAATGTTATTTTAACTGATTTTACATATGATTGTAGTTTCCAAGACGAATGTCATTTATGCACACAAAGTACTTGGAACATAAGAGTGATTTTTAAAAAAAGAAACTCTCTGGCCAGAACATAACACTAGAACTCATAATTGGGATAAGGGTTATTGAGTAAAATAAACAAGTAAATAATAACAATATATGAAATAGACTAAGGAGTATTATTAAAAATCACTTATAAATGTACAGACTTCATTAAGAATAAGGAAGCCACAGACTGGGGAAAAAGTGTTTGGTAATGACATGTCAGATATGGGACTTATATCTAGAATTTATAAAATACTTGAGCACCACAACAAGATAAAGGTAAATAATCCAGTCGAGAAATGGGCACAGGATATGAACAGACATTTCACCAAAGAAGACATTCAGACGGCCAATAAGCACATGAAGAAATGGTCAAAATCCCTGGCTCTAAGACAGATGCAAATTAAGACAACTATGAGATTTTATTTCACCCCAGTCAGAATAGCAAAATTTAACAAAACAGCAAGCAGCAAATGCTGGCAAGGTTGTGGAGAGACTGGAACCCTTATTCACTGTTGGTGGGAGTGTAAAATGGTGCAACCACTGTGGAAAGAGGTGTGGCGCTTTCTCAAAAAGTTGCAAATAGAGATACCATTTGACCCAGCAATTCTACTACTGGGAATATATTCCGAAGAGACCATAACTGACATCCAAGCAGATATATGCACACCCATGTTAATTGTGGCTTTGTTTACAATAGCAAGGAGTTGGAAACAACCTAAGTGCCCATGAACAGACGAATGGATGGAGAAGCTGTGGTATATTCACACAATGGAATACTATGATGCTTTGACAAAAAGGGAACTCATGCAATATTATTCAAAAAGGGTTACCCTGGAGGACGTTATGCTGAGTGAAATATCTCAGTCACAAAAGAACAAATGCTGTATGGTGCCACTGTTGTGGAATGAGGCTGACATCAGGGTGGGGGTAAAATTGAGAAAAACTGGATAAATTATGTATACTGCATTGAAGCCGATGAGGGAGAGAACAGTTTAAAAGTAATATATTTTAGGGCATTATGAGGAAGGGTGTATGCCAGGGATGTATCCTATCTCCATACCTTTTCAACCTGTATGCAGAGCAGATTATCCAAGAGGTTGGGCTCTATGAGGAGAAGCGTGGTGTTAGGATTGGTGGAAGATCTATCAACAATCTGCGTTATGCAGATGACACAGCCCTGTTTGCCAAAACTGAGGAGGACCTCATGCACTTACTGCAGAGGGTCTAGGACTGCAGCCTTCAGTATGGACTGAGGCTCAATGTCAAGAAGACAAAGATTCTCACAACTGGACCAATCGATAGCATCAGGATGGATGACGAAGAGATTGAGATTGTTCACAGCTTCAGTTTGCTTGGCTCCATCAACAACACTCTTGATACCAGCAGCCAGGAAATCAAAAAACATACTGTGATGGGAAACTCTGTGGTTAGGGACCTCTCTAAAGTACTCAAGAGCAACGGTGTCTCTATGGAGACTAAGGACTGCCTGGTACAGGCCATGGTTTTTGCAATCACTTGTTATGCAGCAGAGAGTTGGACAATGACTAGGGAGGATAGAAGGAGAATTGATGCCTTTGAGCTGTGGTGCTGGAGAAGAGTATTGAATGTACCATGGACTTCTAAGAAAACAATCAGATTCATCCTAGAGAGGGTTAAACTAGGCTGCTTCTTGGAGGCAAGGATTCTGGGGCTTCATCTGACATACTTTGGACATGCTCTAAGGAGAGAGAAGTCTTTAGAGAGGGATACCATGCTGGGTAGAGTAGAGGGACAAGGCAGGAGAGGAAGACCCTCTATGAGGTGGATTGATTCAGTGACTGGGGTAATTGGGATGAGTGTGACAAAGGCAATGCAATTGGCACAGGATAAAGCAGTGTTTAGGGCTATTGTACATAGGGTCGCTATGAGTCGCAAGTGACTCGATGGCACATAACAACAACAACAACAACAACAACAATAACAACAACAATGATTATCGTAGGAGTTCAGAATGAGGGTTGCAGAGTGGAGTATACTCAGGGTGGGCCTTTTAGTTATCAACAAAATTCCCTATCAGCTTTCCTACAAATGACCTTTAGTTTTATAAAAAAAAAATAAAGAATTTCTCTGAAAATATCAAACTATAGTAATAATATATTAAAAGATATAGCATTCACATTTTGTTCTTATGACTTTCTCTTTCTCAAATCCATTTGTAACATATTGTACATCCTAATTAAGCAAGCAGATGAGAATAAACTTCATAGTATACATTAAAACAAATAATTTAAAAGCAGGTATTTAGGAAATAGCATAATGAATAATTGCAAATTATATGTATTCTCCAGTTACTACTTCAGAAACTTAATGATGCCTGAACACAGTTTGAAAGTTTATTCCTCATTTTTATTCAAAATGAATTTTGTCTAGTAAACTAATGCTTTGCCCACATCATAGAGCTCTTGTAACTTCATTGACAGAATACTTTTCACTCATAATTATCATCATTGCCAATTCAGTTACTTTCATGACTGTATTACTGTAAAGTAGCATATTGTCTGAAATACAGTGAATTTTTGAACACTGAGGCAGATTTAATTTTTGATATTATAGTTCTATAAATTTTAAGAACAAATGGAAAAGAGTGCTTTACAAATAGGCAATATTACTTAAAGGTACTTATGTATCATTTAGAAACAAAAATGTGTGTATTTTTCCCACAACTTTTCTTCTCATGCTTACACATATATCAGCATTTTGCGTTAGTCACAAAAGTTGTTTTCAATATTCATCAACTATGACACTAAAATAAATTCTAAATAAAACATGTTGTTGTTGTTGTTGTTGTTATGTGCC